GGCCCAAGTCTTCTAACCATCACTATTGCCAAACTCTTTCCCCTGAAATCAACTGCAGCTTTGTCCTCATGATGTGCGTACACGACGTGCACAACACGCCTGGGAACTGACAGTCACCAGGATCTGGTTTCCCAGTACCAGCTCCTGCCTCACCCCTGGGGCTACTGGGATTCACTTTCCTTGACTTCAGGGGCCGCTTATGCCCAAGGTGGTAAATCTGGGCCCAGGCAGGGGCTGACTCTCAGGATTGAATGAGCCCTGTCCCTTTGGGGTGAGGAAGAGAGGACCGACCTAGAATGTTGACCCAAGGCTTTCACCTCCTCAGCTTGGATTTGGGACCTGCTGTGTCCAGGAGAGTCCCAGGGATGGCCCCCAGCTTTGGCCATGGGCCTGGGACTTGGGAAGTTACAGCAGATGGAGCCCCTGATACCCAGGAAAGCTGGGCTGGGTCCAACCTTTCCCACAGGAGAAAGGAGACCTGGCCCTAGTTAGAAGTGCTCAGAGCAAAGCCCCAGGGTGATTTGGGAAACGGTACTCATGGGATCAGAATATTCAAGCAAGGTCATTCCTAAAGTTGCTTCCTTCCCCAAGGGCAGCACCTGTGTCTGGCCAGGCCTGGAGAGAGGGGTAGGAGCACAGGCTCACTCCCACCAGTGTCCAAGTGTCCTCCCTTCTCTACCCTGGTGAGCCTGGCCCTCTGCATGTGCCTTCAACTGTGGCCTCCCACCCTCCTCCCTGCCCCGGTGATTCCATCTACACAGGAGCTATGCTGGGTGTCCCGCTCTGTGTGGGAGCCCACCCAGACATCCTCACACCTCTCTGCCCACCACACCCCCAACTAGAACCTGAGATTTGTGCGGGGCACCTGCAGAAACCACCCAGAGGACCCTCGATCAGAGCCACCAACACCCACCCCTCCATCCGGCCCCTAGTGCCTGTCTGCCTGTGGCACCCACCCAGGACAAGGCTGGGTCCTCCTGTCCTCCCCAGTCCTGTCCCTTCCTGCCCTCTCATTCCTGGAAGACCCCCATGGGTGCATGCATGGCAGCCCACACCAGGGAACCAACAGAGAGGCAGAGTCACGGGCACTGCTGAAGCTTATTATGCAGAAAGCGGGGCAGGGGAGGAAGAGCACTGGGGATGGTAGTGGGCAAGGTGAGACCCAGGATAGGAACTCCTCCCATGTCCCCCAGGTCAGAGGTCCCAGGTTGTGCTGCCCTGTGGCTGCTGAGGTGCTATGGTGCCCGCTGTCTTAGAAAGGAGGGGAGGGTCAATGAGGCCAGGACCAGGAGGATGGGGGGTTCAGCTGCAGTGAGGGGACACATGCTGGGCTCTCAGGGGCTGCAGGGTGAGGGGCACATGCCAAGACATGGGGGTTGCAGTGGGGTGATGAATGCCCGACTCTCGGGAGCTGCAGAGGTGGCCTGAGCAGAAGAAGGGGGTCATTTCTGCAGTCTCCACACAACCAAAGCTCTGTCCACATGGGCAGAGGTCCTGGCCAGGTGTGGCTGACTCGTCAGGGCCATCACTGGACCTTGAAGGGTGCCAGGCTCTGCCTCATCATGGCCCTGCTCACGGTGGGTCCCTGGACCTCAGGCAGGTCCTGGATCCACTGTTACAGTGCTCATGCAATGCAGAGGGGCTCGTAGGCCTAGTGACAGGATTCTCCTTAGGAGCAGCGAGCTGCAGGGGCATGTGGGCTGGGCAGGTGGGAGGCGTCCTGGAGGCCTGGGAGGGCCTCGGAGGGAGGCTGCCTGCTGGACCAATGATGGCCTGGCAGCTTCCACTGGGTGCCTGGTGCACGGTGGGTCCAGACCCCATCCCCTGTGTCTGAATTATACAAATAGCAATTCCAGCTGACGAGAAAGGAAAGGAGTTTCTAAGTGTCCTGGGAATGATGCTCATGACAGACTG